AGCTGAATCAGATACAAACGTGACTTTTTATCCTCAAAAGTCCCGAAGAAGTGAATGGACAAGATTATTTGTGTAGCAAGCTTTGTTAATCAAGTAGTGATACTTCATTTGGTGTTTGGTGATGTGCACGTAGAATGACGCAAGTCGTTTGTGTACAGGTCCTAGGTTAATGCTTCAGTTGCTCACTGAGACACGCTTCCTCTTCCACTTGACTAACCGTAAAACTTTGATATAGTATGATAAGGCTTGATAAACTTTATCCCGCTCACTCGGTTTACCAAAGTGAGGGTTTTCTCTCAAACGTGATATATCAAAACACAAATTTCACAACTACAACTAGAAGAACGTTCAGAAGCGGTCGAGACTTAGAGGACTGAAATAATTCTTGAAGCTAGTAGCCCACTCATTACTTCCGGTGTATGATTCGTCAAACAAATATAGCATCACACTTGCTTCAAACAAGCTAGTAGTTTAGCTTAGAAATCTTCGAATTCGGCATACATCGGTGTGGGGAGTATGCAAAAGCATCGACTTAATTTGACAAAGATAACTGGACACAACTTCTATCAATTGTATTTGCCACATTTTTCGGTGGAAATGCTCCAACTTCCTGGGTAAGTGATTGTTCTTTCAGTAATTTGTAGTTGCCTTTCTCCAAATAGTGTTGTATGTTGAATTTGGGACACTGTGCTTTACTGAGACTAATGAAAGTGAACACGTAATGCCGGGCCTTGTGTTGTCGAGATATATGCCATGTATCAAGCATAATGAAGAATGTATTACCAGTAACATACATACCCGCCGTTTTCAGCCAACAACCCAGTCTTGGTTGTGGATATGCTGAACATCTGAATGAAAAAAACATCATAAATAGACGGAGTTTCTTAAAAACTGCTCAGTGTAAAGAAAAAATTCTTCACAAAGACACATCACCGATTTCGGGAACACCTCAGATTATATTCCACAGCCCCATTCAATGTAGTTCATATTGAACATCTAGTGTGCAGAGCTTCGCAGGTCTGAAATGCAATCTATGAAATGTTTACAGTAGATATCTCATCACGTATCTTGTTAGGAAATGATCGGTAGCTGTTGAACACTACTCACAACAACAAAACAAAAACCTTCCCTAAACAAGTTCTTTCATGTTAGTTTCGTCTGACAATTTACTGGTTAATTTATTACCTAAACCAAAGCATTCATTTTTATCGGAGTAATTTGAGTCCCATACATTTTGTTGTATGTTGTAGGGAGAGCGCATTTGCATCCGAATAACAACAAATATAATAATAATAATAATAATAACAATAATAATAATAATAATAATAATAATAATAATAATAAAGCATTAACAATCGTTAGGTCCGGATATTGAACTGCTTCAATGTCTGTCTCAATTTTGAAATTTCGGTCACGCTCTCCGAGTTTGACAATTCAAAGGCGGTAATGTCCAATAATTTCCTTATAATAACATGACAAACGTTGAAGACGGTGCAGAAGATGTCCAGGAGAGTCACTTATTGGTATTCTTTCCAACTAGTTCACACACTCGATAAAACCCAATTATCACATTGGGAAAAGTGTTCATACCAGTCAAGAAACCATATTCTAGTCAAAGAAGGAGGGTAGGTCAACTCAATTTTCTCCGAATACGAGCGGTTGATAGTGAATAATAGCAAACGTCTCTAAAGTCGAACAGGGAATGTACTTCGAAATCAACATCAAGAGGCACAAATGATCAGTTCACCGAGTATCAACCAAAGGCTGGCAGACCAATATGACGAGTGCCATAAAAACAATGTTAAGTAAAACAAAAGAAACGTTTATTAAAAGACTCAACAACACCAAGAAAATAGTAGGGATTTGGACACTATAATTATAGTAGACAATATAGTAATGACAACTGCAATCAAACTCAAGAATGGTAATCAGTATGCAAAACATAGACGACAATATGAGAAACAGTACAAACTACAGGAATCCAAAGGTCTAGTCACAAGAAAGAACAGACCTGGAGACATCTCAGTGTTTACACATGATCATACAAAAATAGGCCCTACAGTAATAATTCGTTCAAATCGAATATTCGACCTAATCTGCTCTGTGCAACCACACTAATGGTAAGTAATCTCAATCAATGCTACATCCAGTGTCAGTCATACATAAGCAACCAATAGACAATGTAATCTTAGTTGATTGTGCTGGAAACAGACATAGTTAGAAAGCGTTGGACAGTGTCGTTTTTTTACGGGAAATAAACAAACAAATCAATAAAGAGATAGACTGACAGACGGAGATCAAAAATCAAACGAGCCATAAATTGTAGAAAACAAAAGACAGTGTCCAGGAATATCATTTTATTTATTTGTCAGCAAACACAGATTTCAAAGTGTAGAATCAGCCGTCCATCAAATTTTCACTGTTTTGTTCACCCTTTTTTTCGACTTATCAATACCTGGGAATGGGAAAATGGAAAGCAAGAATAATCAGCTATTGATCTCAATCGCAAGTATGAACGGGTAAATACACACGGTTAAGTACATGCGCTGACAAACTGACGAGATGACTGACAGTGTGAGGGAATGTTTCAGTGTGACAGATTGAACGTAGTGGAGCGAATGAACTGCTATCATTCCCCAGTATAAAATATTACATACAGAATAGGAATGAAGAACGGACTGCAATAAACTGAATTTGCATGAGAGGTTGATGAGTTACATGAGTGAGTCACAGGTGGTGAACATAGAAATATCGGGTCAATAGGTTTCATATTTTAAATTTTGGAGTGAGAAATGACTATCATTGGACTTACCGTACACCTTCATCCAGTCTCTCCTAGGTTTCCCCTTACCAGGGTCGCCTGAAAAAGGGCCAAGATGGATGCTGATTAGTCAAAACTCTTCAGGGTACAATGATCATTATATATATATATATATATATGGGGTGAAGTGGGGTAAGGTGGAGTGGAGGAGTGAATGGATGAGATGTTGAGTCCACTATATGTGGTGAACTACGATGTTCACGAGGCTCAGATTTCCATCCTGGGAATCGACCTGATTTTTTCAGTGGTGCCTCCACTACTCTGGCAGGCTTAGATGGAGAAGCTGAATATGGATGGCCAAACCAAACCAAATATGTATTTCATGGAAATCATGAGGCGATATAAGTTAGAAAACCATCGAAAACCCGGAGGCACTGTGCTTTGTCTGGGTATGGGACTCCTCATCAGCGCGTATCTACAATTCCAAAACTGGGAGTCCAACACAAGACCTCCGGTTTCTCTCAAGAGTGCTTGACCTCTGGACCGCTGGATCGGGTTACAATGGTGGGCATGTTTAACTTCATAACTTTGACAAGATTCAACAGTTTCCACGACCTCGTACCGATTAAGTGTGTATTGTTCACAAACTTAGGACCTATTTAACCAATCTACCCTAAAACCTATTTATATTGAGGATGCTCAGATTGTTTTAAACACCCAGTCGTTTTGATAAGATACTGAAACAACTTAAATGGTCCGACCAATCACTTTTGATAGGATAGGGCTTCAAACGAATGTACTTCAAATGATAGATCTGCTCTAGCTAACTACCGTTACATATTTCCTACAAAGTTACTGCCACGAGCGGTTCTCAAACCACTCAACTAAAATAGTACGACTATGAATAACCTGTCAGTTAACAAATGAAATAGGTTCGATTCTTCTATTGCCACAAACCTTGCCTATTAAACTCAACCCTTCAAAATTACTGTTTGGTTACCGATCATGTAATCTGTGCACAATTTGTATCGATAGCAATAGGTTCTGATGAGAATAAAAGTATTTTGCGAGTGTAAAAGTTGGAGTGCTTGAGCTTTCATGTTTTCAGATATTATTGCCGTAAATATAGAGGAATCCAACTACATCGGTTCATTTGGGAGACTCGTAGTACCTACTACTAATACATCGGAGGAAAGTTAGTGAACACCCTCCTATGTGAGTAAAACACTTGATTGACCGAATGAAAATGCTTTCTTAAAATTTAGGTACATATTGCGTTCATGCACACAGCTAGAACACATACTTTTAACAATTAATGATATAAATCATATGAGAAGAATCATGCTATATGAATCGACTTACTGGATTTAGACTTTGTTGGCACAGGAGCTGGGGCTTCAGCAGTTTTAGATGGTTTTCCGTCCTCATCTATATCGGAAAACGGAAAAAGACACCTTCGTTATTTAGTATAAATCAAATTTAATGAGTTCAGTCCATTTTGTACAGAATGTGATGTTTATGGAAGAAGAATAAATGGACGTTTTGATGGTTAACGGTATCGTAAATCAATGCTGTTTACTGCTTCCAGCAATACGCTATAGGATGCGTAAGTGAGTCGTAACACACTCTAATGACGGACAGAATTACTGACCGGATAAGTGGGTGAGTGAGAGATTGAATAAGTGATAGAAGCATGTCTGTTCGTGTAAAACTCACCTTCATCGCAGTACGTCACACTCAGATAGTTAACAGCGAGGGTAAAAATGAGTACGGCCACCTGAAAATGAAAGAACAAGCGAGTTGGTTTGATTGGTTACACAGGTGAATTCCTTACCAATGTTCTATTCATTTGTATGCTTACTGATTTCTGATGTTACAGTGAGATATTAACTAGAATTTATATGCTTGTGAAGTTGTCGATTTTCTAATCAACTTTGTCTTCAATAAATCGCTACCAATAACATGACGTTTTTTCATTGAACTGAAAACGTGATCGTGTTATATGTGTCATAGTTATATTTTTAAGTGACGTGAAATCTTTTGACTGAAAATAACGTTTCCACGGGCTTCTTGATTTGCTATGAATTTAACCTCTATAAATAACTAGCTGGATTTGATTAAAATGTACGTTTTAAAAAGTGAGCAGGAACTACTATTGTAACTTCAATAACCCACAATCGTCCTCAATCGATTTCACAGAACCGTGTGCCTGGTTAAAGTGACATGACACATATAACACGATCACGTTTTCAGTTCAATGAAAAAACGTCATGTTATTGGTAGCGATTTATTGAAGACAAAGTTGATTAGAAAATCGACAACTTCACAAGCATATAAATTCTAGTTAATATCTCACTGTAACATCAGAAATCAGTAAGCATACAAATGAATAGAACATTGGTAAGGAATTCACCTGTGTAACCAATCAAACCAACTCGCTTGTTCTTTCATTTTCAGGTGGCCGTACTCATTTTTACCCTCGCTGTTAACTATCTGAGTGTGACGTACTGCGATGAAGGTGAGTTTTACACGAACAGACATGCTTCTATCACTTATTCAATCTCTCACTCACCCACTTATCCGGTCAGTAATTCTGTCCGTCATTAGAGTGTGTTACGACTCACTTACGCATCCTATAGCGTATTGCTGGAAGCAGTAAACAGCATTGATTTACGATACCGTTAACCATCAAAACGTCCATTTATTCTTCTTCCATAAACATCACATTCTGTACAAAATGGACTGAACTCATTAAATTTGATTTATACTAAATAACGAAGGTGTCTTTTTCCGTTTTCCGATATAGATGAGGACGGAAAACCATCTAAAACTGCTGAAGCCCCAGCTCCTGTGCCAACAAAGTCTAAATCCAGTAAGTCGATTCATATAGCATGATTCTTCTCATATGATTTATATCATTAATTGTTAAAAGTATGTGTTCTAGCTGTGTGCATGAACGCAATATGTACCTAAATTTTAAGAAAGCATTTTCATTCGGTCAATCAAGTGTTTTACTCACATAGGAGGGTGTTCACTAACTTTCCTCCGATGTATTAGTAGTAGGTACTACGAGTCTCCCAAATGAACCGATGTAGTTGGATTCCTCTATATTTACGGCAATAATATCTGAAAACATGAAAGCTCAAGCACTCCAACTTTTACACTCGCAAAATACTTTTATTCTCATCAGAACCTATTGCTATCGATACAAATTGTGCACAGATTACATGATCGGTAACCAAACAGTAATTTTGAAGGGTTGAGTTTAATAGGCAAGGTTTGTGGCAATAGAAGAATCGAACCTATTTCATTTGTTAACTGACAGGTTATTCATAGTCGTACTATTTTAGTTGAGTGGTTTGAGAACCGCTCGTGGCAGTAACTTTGTAGGAAATATGTAACGGTAGTTAGCTAGAGCAGATCTATCATTTGAAGTACATTCGTTTGAAGCCCTATCCTATCAAAAGTGATTGGTCGGACCATTTAAGTTGTTTCAGTATCTTATCAAAACGACTGGGTGTTTAAAACAATCTGAGCATCCTCAATATAAATAGGTTTTAGGGTAGATTGGTTAAATAGGTCCTAAGTTTGTGAACAATACACACTTAATCGGTACGAGGTCGTGGAAACTGTTGAATCTTGTCAAAGTTATGAAGTTAAACATGCCCACCATTGTAACCCGATCCAGCGGTCCAGAGGTCAAGCACTCTTGAGAGAAACCGGAGGTCTTGTGTTGGACTCCCAGTTTTGGAATTGTAGATACGCGCTGATGAGGAGTCCCATACCCAGACAAAGCACAGTGCCTCCGGGTTTTCGATGGTTTTCTAACTTATATCGCCTCATGATTTCCATGAAATACATATTTGGTTTGGTTTGGCCATCCATATTCAGCTTCTCCATCTAAGCCTGCCAGAGTAGTGGAGGCACCACTGAAAAAATCAGGTCGATTCCCAGGATGGAAATCTGAGCCTCGTGAACATCGTAGTTCACCACATATAGTGGACTCAACATCTCATCCATTCACTCCTCCACTCCACCTTACCCCACTTCACCCCATATATATATATATATATATAATGATCATTGTACCCTGAAGAGTTTTGACTAATCAGCATCCATCTTGGCCCTTTTTCAGGCGACCCTGGTAAGGGGAAACCTAGGAGAGACTGGATGAAGGTGTACGGTAAGTCCAATGATAGTCATTTCTCACTCCAAAATTTAAAATATGAAACCTATTGACCCGATATTTCTATGTTCACCACCTGTGACTCACTCATGTAACTCATCAACCTCTCATGCAAATTCAGTTTATTGCAGTCCGTTCTTCATTCCTATTCTGTATGTAATATTTTATACTGGGGAATGATAGCAGTTCATTCGCTCCACTACGTTCAATCTGTCACACTGAAACATTCCCTCACACTGTCAGTCATCTCGTCAGTTTGTCAGCGCATGTACTTAACCGTGTGTATTTACCCGTTCATACTTGCGATTGAGATCAATAGCTGATTATTCTTGCTTTCCATTTTCCCATTCCCAGGTATTGATAAGTCGAAAAAAAGGGTGAACAAAACAGTGAAAATTTGATGGACGGCTGATTCTACACTTTGAAATCTGTGTTTGCTGACAAATAAATAAAATGATATTCCTGGACACTGTCTTTTGTTTTCTACAATTTATGGCTCGTTTGATTTTTGATCTCCGTCTGTCAGTCTATCTCTTTATTGATTTGTTTGTTTATTTCCCGTAAAAAAACGACACTGTCCAACGCTTTCTAACTATGTCTGTTTCCAGCACAATCAACTAAGATTACATTGTCTATTGGTTGCTTATGTATGACTGACACTGGATGTAGCATTGATTGAGATTACTTACCATTAGTGTGGTTGCACAGAGCAGATTAGGTCGAATATTCGATTTGAACGAATTATTACTGTAGGGCCTATTTTTGTATGATCATGTGTAAACACTGAGATGTCTCCAGGTCTGTTCTTTCTTGTGACTAGACCTTTGGATTCCTGTAGTTTGTACTGTTTCTCATATTGTCGTCTATGTTTTGCATACTGATTACCATTCTTGAGTTTGATTGCAGTTGTCATTACTATATTGTCTACTATAATTATAGTGTCCAAATCCCTACTATTTTCTTGGTGTTGTTGAGTCTTTTAATAAACGTTTCTTTTGTTTTACTTAACATTGTTTTTATGGCACTCGTCATATTGGTCTGCCAGCCTTTGGTTGATACTCGGTGAACTGATCATTTGTGCCTCTTGATGTTGATTTCGAAGTACATTCCCTGTTCGACTTTAGAGACGTTTGCTATTATTCACTATCAACCGCTCGTATTCGGAGAAAATTGAGTTGACCTACCCTCCTTCTTTGACTAGAATATGGTTTCTTGACTGGTATGAACACTTTTCCCAATGTGATAATTGGGTTTTATCGAGTGTGTGAACTAGTTGGAAAGAATACCAATAAGTGACTCTCCTGGACATCTTCTGCACCGTCTTCAACGTTTGTCATGTTATTATAAGGAAATTATTGGACATTACCGCCTTTGAATTGTCAAACTCGGAGAGCGTGACCGAAATTTCAAAATTGAGACAGACATTGAAGCAGTTCAATATCCGGACCTAACGATTGTTAATGCTTTATTATTATTATTATTATTATTATTATTGTTATTATTATTATTATTATTATTATATTTGTTGTTATTCGGATGCAAATGCGCTCTCCCTACAACATACAACAAAATGTATGGGACTCAAATTACTCCGATAAAAATGAATGCTTTGGTTTAGGTAATAAATTAACCAGTAAATTGTCAGACGAAACTAACATGAAAGAACTTGTTTAGGGAAGGTTTTTGTTTTGTTGTTGTGAGTAGTGTTCAACAGCTACCGATCATTTCCTAACAAGATACGTGATGAGATATCTACTGTAAACATTTCATAGATTGCATTTCAGACCTGCGAAGCTCTGCACACTAGATGTTCAATATGAACTACATTGAATGGGGCTGTGGAATATAATCTGAGGTGTTCCCGAAATCGGTGATGTGTCTTTGTGAAGAATTTTTTCTTTACACTGAGCAGTTTTTAAGAAACTCCGTCTATTTATGATGTTTTTTTCATTCAGATGTTCAGCATATCCACAACCAAGACTGGGTTGTTGGCTGAAAACGGCGGGTATGTATGTTACTGGTAATACATTCTTCATTATGCTTGATACATGGCATATATCTCGACAACACAAGGCCCGGCATTACGTGTTCACTTTCATTAGTCTCAGTAAAGCACAGTGTCCCAAATTCAACATACAACACTATTTGGAGAAAGGCAACTACAAATTACTGAAAGAACAATCACTTACCCAGGAAGTTGGAGCATTTCCACCGAAAAATGTGGCAAATACAATTGATAGAAGTTGTGTCCAGTTATCTTTGTCAAATTAAGTCGATGCTTTTGCATACTCCCCACACCGATGTATGCCGAATTCGAAGATTTCTAAGCTAAACTACTAGCTTGTTTGAAGCAAGTGTGATGCTATATTTGTTTGACGAATCATACACCGGAAGTAATGAGTGGGCTACTAGCTTCAAGAATTATTTCAGTCCTCTAAGTCTCGACCGCTTCTGAACGTTCTTCTAGTTGTAGTTGTGAAATTTGTGTTTTGATATATCACGTTTGAGAGAAAACCCTCACTTTGGTAAACCGAGTGAGCGGGATAAAGTTTATCAAGCCTTATCATACTATATCAAAGTTTTACGGTTAGTCAAGTGGAAGAGGAAGCGTGTCTCAGTGAGCAACTGAAGCATTAACCTAGGACCTGTACACAAACGACTTGCGTCATTCTACGTGCACATCACCAAACACCAAATGAAGTATCACTACTTGATTAACAAAGCTTGCTACACAAATAATCTTGTCCATTCACTTCTTCGGGACTTTTGAGGATAAAAAGTCACGTTTGTATCTGATTCAGCTTGATTCACAAATCGTATCATACCCATAGATCCATACTAAACTTATAGACAACTTAGTCCACATGATTGTATTACCAGATTGTGTCAATTAAATGTTAGAAAGTAAATAAAGCTATGCCCATGAATTCAACCGATGTTTTCCCAAATAAGTAGTTTCGCTTGATTATGTTGTTTCAGCATATTGATTGTCACATTGTACATGACCATCATTTGTTTACTTGATCACTTGTTTAGTGTTTGTTTATATATCCATTCTATTCAACATTGTTATTCGAGTTATTTCGCAAATTGACTTCCTATTTCACTTTTATTCCGCTGCTATGTTAACCACACACTGATATTGGTTTAGTTCTCTTCTCAATGTCAGCTCATTGTACCATCTCTCAAAAACTTTGGATTGCTGATAAGTTGTAAAACTTGTATTATTTTGTCAGCATCACTTACGTAAGTCTATTAATTGCAACTGTATTCTTCTTTCTGTTGACGATAACTGTGGAGCTTTTGCTTCCTTATTTCGTTACTTCAACATCCTTCATCTGGATGTTGCAAATTATGCTTCAGTGTGTCTACAAGAACGGAAACAATTTTGCACATGTTGACTTACACACTCATTTGCTCCTTGGTTGAACTATTAGAATCGTCACTGATTTTATATGGTTCATATGACCCTCCTGTCTTTCGAGAAGCGACATAGGGTTAATGTATACAACTTCGTGCCTAGGAGTTGCGAATTGGCCTGTCAGACTTTAATTTGTTTCATAAGCAAGCTGTGCAGTATTGTGATGTATGTCTTTCTTGACGGTAAAACGTATGCTCTATAGTATCAGGGGAAGGCATTCACTCAATCTGGTTAAGTCATGTTGTGCCTTAGGCGAACTTCTTAGTTGCCTTTTGAATTTATCGACTAGTTTATTTGCTGATGGGTTGTATGTTGTTTTGCTGATGCGATGAGTGTCAAGAATACGAGCAAAATTGCCAAGTTGGTACGATTGAAACTGCGAATCCCCGTTGGTGGTAGTCGTAGGAGATACATTAATGCTAGAGACCCATCTGTTAAGACACGCAGTATCGATGTTTCCGACGAAGATGTCATTTGCGGGACATGCAATTGTCCATCTGGCAGAACGATCCACTGAAATCAGAGTGTAAATAACACCATATGATTGGGACAGTAGACCCATTAAATTAATTTGAATATGTTGAGAACGATGATCGAGCAAACTGAATTTCGTTAGTTATCCAATTGTATCCCTGTTAATTGTACTGTACTGACATTGGAGACAATTTTGGACCCATCGTTCTATATTTTTGTCCATTATTGGCCAAACAAACGTCTGAGATGAATTCAACAGTAGCACATTCCTGGTTAGGTTAATGAACGAAGCTGATCAACGACTGTCTTTCCGTAGGTCATTTAAGCACAAAGTCGCTCAACTCCTGCGGATATGTCGCAGGCGATCGTCGACTGTGCAACTGATACAGAAATATTTCTCCGTTTTAAGCTGGATTTCACTCGACAGGCTGCATGGTCAATATTTATCTCCTTACGGTCATACTACTTCCTGTAAGCTAAAGCCTTTTATTAGTGCTACAACATTAGAATCTAACTGTGGTAAAGTATTAGCGTCGATATTTGCTCTTATTTCGATATATTGAATGTTTGTTGGAAGCTATGAAAAACCAAATTGGAGATTTCTTCTGGGAGAGTGACTGTCATTGTTAGCAACAGAGGAAAACACACATTAAACGCTTGTGATCTATGAGTACTACAAAATCTCCCCTTTGGAGTAAATGAATAAAACGTCTTACAGTTAAAATAGCACTTAAGATTTCTGTTCTGAATGTACTGTATCGTGTCTGAGTAGATTCCAGTTTCTTTGAAGAAAAGGTTAGCAGTTTGAATTCATCAAGTACATGTTATTATGGCACGCGGCCTAATGTTGATTGTGATATGTCTGTGAACAAGATCAGTGTTTGATCAGAATCTGAACTTAAATAAGTCAACATTGCCATTAAAGCTATTGCTGTCCCGTTTAATGTTATAGAATCACAACAGAATGGGAAATAAAACGTTGATATAAGTAAATCTTTCCTGAGATTCGAAAACGTTTGTTTACCAACATATCTTGGGAAATACGTAGACTACAAGCCAGTCCATAGACATTCTATTAAGATAACAGTTGCCAAGACTTCGATAAGCAGAGTTTAAAAACCTGTTGCTGAGACATGTGACAAAGTAACAAAAATGAATTTAGTGACGTCCAGTTTTATGATGAAGAATCATATTAGAGACTTTCTAAAATAGTGCTTAAGGAAGATCGAAAAGATGAGAAAAATGTCAAACGAAAAGGACGGGTCAACTCAGTGGTGATCCCATAACACTTCACAATAGATCATAAAGGTCCTAAATAATCAAAATATAAGAGCATTATTTTGGGCAAACGACACTGTAAACTATGAACTGCTAAAAGCCGATGACCTGATTTCGAATGAGAAGAAATAAAACTGTGAATGAGAACAAATCTAGTGACCGTAATGCTTTGTATTAAAGTGAGACATCACAATAGCTGAATGTGAGGGTATAATATTAAAATTAGCCTGTTAGCAAACTTAATTGTAAAACAGGTTCTCTAATAT